TTGCTTTCTTCCCTACTTCCCTTTACAGTTCTCCTACCCTTTCCTTTAGCTTCCAAAGAAATAGGAATCCAGAACCCGTTTGTAGATGGCCTCTATCTTTTGCTCCTGGGGCAAGTGTTTATGAACCTTCAGATGAAGGTGCCATGGAACAAAACTGGGGAATGGGGAAAAATTGAGGTATTAGACATCCTTTCTGAGTGAAGACTGCCTACATTTGGAGATGGAGAAGTGAGGGCCAATACAGTATCAAGGCTTTGCCTATTCCCATCTAGTCCTGGCATCCCAAACAAAGGAGATTTCCCTGAAAAGTAAGAGCAATACAATATACTTCCCATTCCAATACCAAAACCAGTCTTAAAGTGCTTTCCATCTGGGCCTGCTTACCATGCAGCTCAGTAATGAATATGCATGTCATTACATAGGGGTCATAGTGACCTTGCTGTAGATTATTATATTATAACATTACTTGATTATAGCAGAATATATATATATATATTCAGACTCCTTAGTTTATGTTCATCCTGCATTATCAGTGACAACCTGTAATATTTAGAGATTACAATGGGGATTCATGAATATTTCTTTGCTTATGTCATCTGTGCGGTTCAGTTACACCTACTAAAACCATCTGGTTTCCTTTCTAATCGTATTTGTATCTTATACTGTCACCCCACATCTGGCTGAACATTAGAGGACATGAGCCATTAATTTGTATCTACTCACTGCTGAATAAAAAATCAATAGGTCACTGATACAACCTTTTTGCCTTTGTCCTGCTCTATGGTATCACAAGACATATGATCATTACAGCATTGATTAAATTTAAATATCTAAATGCATATATGCATCATTATGTAAATAAAAATAAAACTTTAACATGCTACAGAGCTTAAGCCACAATGAAAATTAGTAAGCACAAGATTTCACCAAAATCTTTAAAGAACAATTACACTTTCAAGGGAATCAGTCAGTTGATAAATGAATAAAGTATGTTAACACAATCAAAAACTTTTTTTTTCAATAAAGATTTAAAGTTCTAGTATAAAAATAGGATGAAATTCAAAGGATGCTTTAACTTCTCCATCCCCCCTCACACTCGCACATCCATTCCCCTATTAAGAAACCCTTGAGTATCTGTGAAGTCACATGATCAAGATGGTTAACCTTGATATGTATTAGAATTGGAGCCAGTAGGAGAAAATATAAGAGAACATATCTCATTTAAACAACAACAATAACAAATGTATATTAGCATTATTCAGAAATAGGATCATCTGCCTTAGGAGAAAGTGCATGAATCAATGCCAAGAGAGGTTAACTTCTAATTATTGGAAATTTTTAAGAAAAAGTTCCAAGGTGAATGGTTGAATTAACCACAAGGGCAATTCCTACTCTGAGATTTCATGATTGTGTCAACTCAGTTGGTCTCGAGTGCCTGTAAGGTTTCTATGTACCCATGATAGTGATGAGCATTGACAGAATAAAAGAGCCATGGAGAAGTAGGAGAGAAAAATCCCTAAAACAATTTGGTTTCATTCAATTTTCAATCCAATTCGGCAAGCGTTTATTACCTATGTTGTGCAAGACAATATTAGGCATGTCACAATCCACCCCTGCCCCATGTTAGTTCATTTAAGATATGTTTATTGAGTAGCTACAATGGAGTTCACATTCCACAAGTTGCTGAGGATAGAAAAAGAACATGGCATCATAGTCCCTTTGAAAGACCGCAAATTTAAAAGGGAAGAAGAACACAGTAGATTTTTATATTATATAGACATGATTGTCCATTTGACTAATTTTTCTTTGGAAGAAAGATTGCCAGACCTCACTGTATATAGAGAATACATTGAAAACACTTATGAAATAGTAGACAGACCAGGGGATATGTAACCTGAAGTTGCACATCTGCCACTTCCTAGTGAATTGATTGTTGACAGGTTGAAATCTCTGTTACGAGACTCAATTTCCCCATCTATAAAATGTGGGTACATAGTGATGTTATAAAAACCTGGCAAATTAAGATTCATAGAGGTTGTAATGAATTTGTTGTTCTAAATACTTGGAAGAGTAACATAATTTCAGAATTTATGTTTTCTAAAAATATAAAATATATAAAAATAGCAACTTACAGAAACATAGCTGGCATTAATATAATCTGATCCTGGAATACTAGCATCAGCTATCAGCTTCACTCTGTTATTATTATCTAGAAGAAAATAAAAGAAATCAATGCTAATTCAATTTTAAATTGTCACTACTTTTGTATTATAAAAGTAGTACAAAGAGGTTCATGACATCACATTCAACATTACATTTGGGTGTAAGACTAAAGTAGAAGTTCCCGCGTATACCATATTTCTACTACCCAGAGACAATGATTGTTAATATGTTCTTGTATAAGTTTCCAGTATTTTCTATACATATTCATAGAAAATTAACCACAAATGGGATGATATATAGTATATTCTGCAAATTGCTCTTTTCATTCACCTTTATCTTTCCTTATCAGCATAAACAAAGATACTTAGCTCATTATTTTAAAAAGCCATGTAGTGCTTCATTGTTTGAATATATCATATTCAAAGATCGAAATTAATTCCATTTTATTATTATAAAATGCTGAATAAATATAATTGAAATCCATATATATATATATATATATATATGAGTGTATTTGTAGAATGCATTACTAGCAGTAATATTCCCAAATCATATTGTGCATTTAAAATTTTGAGATATTTCCAAATTGTTCTCTAGTTATATCAATTCAAACTCTGAACAAAAATGTTTGAACAATTCTTTTCTTACTTTAACTACCACAAGATATAATTAAACATTTTAATTTATGATCTTTTGATAGATGCAAATTGATCTCTCATAGTATTTATTTTGATTTTCGTAAATATAAGTAAAATTAAGCTTCTTTGCTTATTTATTGGCCACTATAAATACCTTTTCTATTAACTGCCTTTTCATATTATACCGTTTTTCTACTTAAAAAATACTTTATACTAAAAACACAGGTTATGTGTAGCCTTTTGTCATATGTGTTAAAATTTCCTTCTTAGTTTGTTGTCTTTAAATAGCTAGCTATTTTGTTATACATAAAATTCATTTTTCTTTTATAATCAAACTTCTCATTATTTTTCATTTTTGTTTCATTATGGCTCTTTGTATCATTCATGCAAAGGTGTTTGGCACCAATATTCTTAATTTCACAAATTCATTCATAGTTTCTTCTGGAACTTTAATGTGTTTTTCTGCTTTTGCTTTAAGTCTTTCAATCTTTGATCCATTGGAATTTATTTATTTATTTTTCTTACAGAGTGAGGTAAAATCTATCCTGTATTGTTTGTTTGATGCCACTTGAAACAACAAACAGTCCTGATTTTTTAACATTCCATCTGCCTTCCCCTCCTTATTCAAACCACCACTTTTATCATATACTAGATTTTTCAACAGGTTTAGATTTATTTCTGGACTATTTATTCTCTTCCATTAATTTATCTGCCTATTCTTTCTTTAATACCAAACTTTTTATTATTATTCTTTAGTATATGTTAAGATCTGGTAAAATTAGACATCCCCTATCCAATACTTTTCTTCAAAGTGTTAAAAAATATTTTTTTCCTGAGGATTTTTATAAGTTGGTATTATAGTGCAGTGACCAGTGCTAATTTTAACTGGACATAGAAATTATAAAAATACAATATTTATTACTATTTAATTATTTTGAAGCATTTCTTTTTATTAACCTCAGTGGGAAGGCACTCAATAGTAGAAGAAAAATGGGTAAATGGGTTTGGGTTTGAAATCCAGATGATCTGTCTGCCATACGTATGGCCTTGGGTGAATTGCTTAACTTCTCTGCTCCTTTGTTACCTCAGCTATAATATGTAGCTCTAATATTTATTTTGTAGAATCCTCTTGAGGAAAACTTAAGTGAAAACTTAGAGCAAGCACTCAACACATGTTCTCATATTCTTATAACTGAAGCACATGTTATATGTTAAAATGACTTAGCCATATTGCCAGTAATTATAATGACCTGCTCAGTGGGCTTAAATTTAGAGATGGGAAATGTTTAAGCAAATTTATACAAATAATTATGTCCCAAAGATTTTGCATTCTGTATGATCTAACTATTTTAATAATATTGTAGCTAGTCCTATAACTTAGGAAGGGAAGCCATCAGGTTTCTATTCACTTGATACGCCTGCTTATAGCTATCTGAGTCAACAAGTTCAATTTTTCTTCATGGTGTTGGAAAACTTCTGAAGGTCATAGTGTCCTGTCAAGCAGAGATTTGCAAAATCTCTTCTGCAAGCATTTGCTGCTAATTCTAGTATCTTAAAGACCTGTAAGCTAATATGTTCTGAAATGTACTGTGATATTTGAAATCCTACTTCCTACATTACTCAGGGGAAACAATGCAATTCACTTAGCTGGCTCAAGTTAAAATTCAGACGCTATTAAAATAAATTCATTCTTTACAGGAGAAAAAAAGATATTTCTTCAGCCTTATGGTTTCTCTGCAAGCACAATAGGAAAATATATTTAGTTTAAACATCTCATTTGCTTGGGAGGGAGTGTATGTATGGTATGTACTGGCCCACAGTGTTGGCTATGAGTTTATTGTTTGCCTTTTAACCAGGCTCGGGAAATGGGCTTGTTACCTCCTGATCTTATTCACTCAGAAAGTTAGCAATTTTTAAAAATAAGCATTCTATTGATCATTAACAATCCTAAGAACTAATATTTACTGTTTCCCCTGTTCCGGTACTAGGAAAAGTGATTTACATGATTATTTCATCTGATACAATAACCTTAAGAGATAAAAACCACTGAATAATATGTCCTGCCACTAAGATAGTTAGTGGGTAAACAGGATTGCAACCCAGGATGTTCAGTTAGGACACATGATCTTAGCTTTTGTACTATACAGGAGGCAGTATGTATTATTAAATTAATAAATTATTCTAATAAAACTCTTGAAAAATATAAAATTCTACCTGACAAAATTATTTCTTATAGGACCTCCAAGTCTTTAGGAGAACAGTTAAATAAAAGCTACAAACCCATGAAAGGATATGGGATGTATAATAGATATATACATTATTTGAAAAATTACCATAAGTTTTCTGTTCCAAAATTAAGAAGAAAGCAGAAAACAATTGGATATTATCCATTTGACTCTAGCAAAGGTGAAAAAAAAAAGGCATGCAATGCTTATTTGAATATTCCATAACATCCCTTGATTTACAATATAAGTCCATTGTTAACAATTATTTATTGTTTTAGCTTCAGAAATGAAGAGTTGGGTAATCATACTCCTGTTAAACTTGTTGTTTTTAGGTTATCTATTTAGTCCTATTAACCACCCTTATTCTTTTTTTATCCTATAAGTAATAAGCTAATATTGTCTCACTTTTTTTATAGCCATGATGTGAATCCAGTTGATGCAGTGAGATCTTTGTAATTAAAGATGGAAATGTCACATTTAAAAAATACCTTTCTAACAGCTGAAATTTTTACATATTTTAAATTAGATACTCTTTGGTCCTTGGCAACTAGATATATTTGATTTACTTATTTTATATATACTGATATGTCATAAATTAATTCAGTCAACTATATAATTATAAATGAATATTAAATATTACACAGTAACTGTCCTTCAGTCAGATTATAGTATTTATTTTCATGGAATATCACTGAGTAAACATGAAGCAGACAGTGTGGAAGAAACTTAGGTACAGACAAATATAAAAACATGACAACTTCCATATCTCTTAAACTCAACTCTCTGAAAGGGAAAACAAAAGGACTTGCTGAGGAAGGTCATGCCATAGAAATTTAGAGATATAATACTAATATTTCTTATTTCCTATAATAATGTCTTATTTGTCAACTTATCTTAAAGTCATTTACTTATGATTTGTTTTGTTCCAGAAAGGATTTTAGGGTTAAAGCCATTTGCATTTTCATCCTATTCTAATTCTTGGAAATTAGCAAATTCCATTAGATTATTACATCCTATATCATGTTTCCTTAAATTTGTTTGTTTGATAGCTCAGTTATCCTCTAGTTCTAGAATATGAGGATTTGGTCCATTTCTTCCTATCCATATACTTTATGATTTTACATTCTATGACTTCATTTTCTCTAAGTCCATGTCTTTCTAGACAGAAGAGTTCAATATTTAAATATGGAATGTCCCCAAATGTAATTTCAAAAAGGCATAACACATAAAAAATTATATATGTAAACTCTAAAATTAAGAATATTTCAAAACTTTAGATTTTGAAACAATATTGACACTATTTCAAAGTGTCAAAACTATCACTTTTTAAATTTCATAATGTAAAGCATATTAAATCAGAATATAGATAGAAACATCTGTTCAAAATATATCAAATATTATTATTAACAGAAGAATGTTATGTTTTATTCTTTCACATAACTGCTAATTCTTAAAGCAATAATATGGTTTCTTTTCTTATTGATTGAAAACCAAAGTCATGTTTATTCTAGTAAGGCACAACCCTGCCTCCTTTGTAAAACCAATCCTGGTAAGCATATATCTATTCTGATCCTCAATGAATATTTTGCAATGATTTTTTTTATATTCCATAAGAAAACATTGCCATGCTCTTAAGGGAAACTAATGCACAAAGTTACATGTGAACTTTCTCTTTTCACTTGAAAAATAGGTCTGTAGGAAGAGGTTAGAGAGTTTTGTTACTTGGGTTAAATTACAAAGCTAAGAAACTATTAGGTCTACTGTTTCTTGCACCTGCATCAGTGAACCTTGTGTGAACAAGCTGAAAACCATGTACATTAACTTTAATAAATATTAACAAAGCAAAGAGATACAATTTCAAAGTTGCTGCTAAGAAAACGCATTATTATAATTCAATTCACATGCAATAAAATATATTTAAGAAATAAAAAATGCTAAGATGCATTTTGTGTTCACGTTAAAACATTTCACAGCTAAAATTAGAGACAGTACGTGCACATACATGGTTTTATGTTTGGAAAGCGGTTTTTTGCTCTGTTCCAAGGCAGATCGGCATCAGTTGAAGAAAGATCCTGAAGAAATTTGGGTAATTCCTGTGGAATGAAGTCATTACAAAGTTTACATTTATTTCAGAGGTAAACAAGAAATTCATTTAGTAAAAGACAATCCTTTTTTCTAAAGCTTTTTATTTTTAAATTGAGAACACCTCTCATAACTGCAGAAACGAGGTCAAATTAACTTATGTAAACTTCCACAGAAAATATCCTGAGTTAAATTGGTCATTCGGGCTATTGCTCTCTGGTATCATTTCTTTGTACTTTGAGAAGCCCCAAGATGTGGCAACCATGTTAGTTACACTTTTCCATACTTTACTGATGGTTTTGTCAGGTACACACTTAATATTATTTAATATTTTAATGTCTGCTTAGTAGCGGAAGGGAGTTTAGTGATTTATTTTTTGTTTTTCCTCCCCAGGCAGTGTGATTTCATGCCTATTAATGGGTACAACACTGACCAGTTTGAGAAGATGCCAAAGGTCAATTCCTGCTCTCAGTGGGCATTGTTAAATCGATAGTGGAATGCAAAGGTGCGATTAAGAATTATCAGGCACAGATGAAGGGTCAAGGAGATCTATTATTGATGTTTTGGTGCAAAATCATATTATCCGTTCATCAGTAAAAAAGTCTGTGCAAGAAAATATGTTCATTATTTTGTTGAGCTGAGATTTACATTTACGAAATTTTAGAAATAACTCTCAACTTGCCAAATTCCTTAAAAAGTGTTAAAAACATGTGTTTTTACAATTTATTCAACAGCATCATAAATTATTTCTTTTAATTGGATAATTCTCCCTTCTTCCGCCTTATTTTTTCCTCCAAAAAAACCCATATAGATATATGAACTGTCTTTTGTAAGTGGAGATCTTTTAGAGGAGCGAGTCAGTATAAGCATCTGCATTCTGGTGTGTTAGTACTAAAAGCTTTAGGGAGGAAAAAATGAAGCAAGTGAGGAATCCTAGAACAGCGTATGTCAAAGTTTTGGGAGAATACTACAGCACATTTGTAAGAGACAAAGAACTACATGGGGGGTGAGGTGGGGGGGGGGGGAAGAAAGGCAAATTGGAAATCACCTGCAGAGTGGTACTTCTTTTCTGTAATTATTTCATGTAGAAGTTTCAATTTATAGATTTAAATGCCTCTGGCCTTGATAACTAATACCCAATTACCAGGTTGATTGTTTGGATAGTAATATTACACTGGGTGGCCTTATTCTTCTCAGGGCTCCAAGGGCCTCAACCATTCTCTCCCTACTGTTTGCTCTTTCTCCTACCCTTTCCTCTTTTCAGTGGGATCACAGATAAATTGGACTGTTTTGTATCCTTATGCTGTTGCATTCATTCCCTCTCTCTGGATATCTTTTCTCCTTTATCTGCTCACTGGACTTCTACTCTTCCTAAAGTTCATCTCAAGGTCACCTTTTTCTGAAGTCTATTTTGCTAGCTATCCAAACAGAGTTGATCCTCACTTTTTTATGAAGATCTCTATCATGATATAGTGCATTTGTAACATTTTTATACATCTTATCATAATACGAGCTTCTTTCTCGTAGGAATCATCACAGCTAACCACTTGTGCAAGCTATTATTCTTAGCATCACACACATTCAATCATTTTAGTATTCACAACTCAATGAGGTAGATAGTAAGTTTTTAGAAATGAAGACATTGAGGCACAGAGAATTTAAATGATTTGCCAAAGGTCAATTAATTATTAAATGTTGAATTGACACATATCAATGTGTCAAGTACAATGCCTATCACATAGCAGGAGCTTATAAATATTTAAAGTATAATAAGTAATATAACCTGAGTTATAAGGTTTATTAAATATATGCATCAAATATGCATTTGTTTATTAAAACATAATTTTCCTTTAAGAAACAATAGAGCATTAGAATAAAAAACCGTTTCCTGTAAAAAGAAAGTCAAGTTCCTTACATATATAGATATACATATATAATATATACACAAAACTCATATATTTGTATAACAAAAACCCAAATTTTTAAAACCACAATCTCCAAAACAGCTAAACTAGAAGCTTTCTCAATGTAATATATATATGAGAAAATGTTATTGCTAACAAAACTTTTCATCTACTCAGTCATGCATAATGTAGTTATATTTGCTCCTATTCTAGTGAAATTATACTTTTGTTCCTAAAGACTGGGGAGTTCTCTCTGTGTAAATGCTAAGAAGAATTTTATGGTACCATTGATTTTAAGTCCAGACCAATATTACTTAAGAAGCATAACCAAAAAACTGTAGGAAATACCATTAATCTTCTCACATTTTTGTTATTATTCCCTGAGAGACTGAAATATTATAATCTTGAATTATTCAAGCCAATTGTTTGATTCTTTGTTCATAAATTCACACACTGAGAATTTCATGAAAAAATAAAAATAAAATTTTGGTGACATTTAAAAATCTGTTTTATTGTCATAATAGAAAATAATCATCTAAGTTAGGAGAGATGCTTGCTTACAAGTCTTAAAATAACTTGTAGTTCTGATATCTACCTTACGTTGTAAAATAATTTCAATTTTATAGATATGTAAAATGCAAAAAGCAACAAATTATTCTTAATTTAAATAGTTTTTAGGTGACAAGTTCTTAACTTTACATAGTCTCCATAACATGAAACAGCATTTATCCCACAGTAACTTAAAAACAGACCTTGTAAAACATGGACATTCCTTATCTTTTTAAAAATTTTTGGACCGTTCTAGAAATAACAGTATTTTTATAGTTTTTGAAAACATCAAGTTCTTCACCCAGGATCATCTATACCACTAACATAAACTAAGCAGTTGAATATAAATTGCAATTATTTACTGTCTAGATATAAAATAATTACTTAAAATAAAACTACATTTATAGTATAACTCAAGCCTAGTACACAAAAACTAATGAATACAGTAGTATAGATTTGCATCCACGTCTGGATGAGGGCGGAGAATAAACGAGGCCAGGATGCTATGCCCGAGGAGGTCTGAAGAAGTGCACCTTTTTCTGACACAGTAGGTGAGTAATTCTGTTCAGGTTACACCAGAGGCCGCCCAGTGTAACATTACTATCCAAACAATCAACCTGGTAATTGGGTATTGATTATCAAGGCCAGGGTCCTTCATGGCCTTGCATGCTTAAAATGGACATGAAATGTGACACATGACACGACTGGAGGTCTGACAATGTTGTGACAACTGCTGGTAACATACCGAAAATTCTTCTTGAAACTTTAGGTTGTTGTTTGTGCAAAGCTCTTCAACATGTTGCAAGAAGGATTTCTTGCTTACCGGCCTCCAAGCAAAGAAAGGTATAAAAGGGAGTCACATTAGATTGAGTTCTTTCACTTGAGCATGGGTGCTGGTTAACAAGTTACATAACAACGGACATTTCAAAACCCATAAACCCCACCCAGCCCTGTAAAGTCACTCTGTCATACTTACAAAATTAACTTTTCTCCTTTAGTTCACTTTCTTTGTATTCATGGTACAAAATTCCTTCAATTTTTAAGTGACTTTAAATGAATGATTTAACATTTTAAATGAAGAAAGTTTTTCAAGTAAATGTAAAGTTATCATTGAATCCTAAAGCACATAATACCTCTTTGTCATATAGAAAACATTTTATACATTACAAGGTTTTAGAAGATATAAAATATTGCAGTGACCTCATTCTCATAATGACATGGTTTTTAAACCCCAAGGAGTTTAAATATCCCCGTATTACTTCCCAAGCTAAAATACAGACATGCAGGCTTCACCCCAGAGAGAGAGAAAGCATTTCTCCAGTTACCATGCAATTAGTCATGCTTTTATGATTTATATCCAGCTTGAAGGTTTTTCTAACAAACATACGAAAAAGGAACCACACATTAAGATTCATCAAATCAGTGAGTCTAAAGTTGATATTCAAAAAGAAGAAAAGATATTTGACAAACTTACTTGATGGATTTCCTATAACTAAGTAACCTGCAACAGAGATTGTGTTAATTGTATTATGAGTTGAGGGTACAGCTCTTTCTGAAAGAGTTCTAGATTAAAATCAGAAAAAAATATAAGTCAGTAATGTATAATGTGCTTTGTCTTTAATTGAGATGTGGTCATTTTAAATTCGATTTCACTTTTAAATATTATATATTATTTGGACCCAAATATGGCCAAATAATAATTTAGGTCCTCTGTCAAGCTAAGAAGTTACTGTTTTATATTTTTAGGCATTTGGGGCATTACATTAAGTGCCCCAATATTTTAATATATTGCATAGTATATAGTGCTCTAAGAAAGTCTGTGGTATTTTAAAGAACATTTTCTTTGTCCATAGAGAGTGCTGAACTAGGAAGACTAGATCTTGGAAAAATGACATCATCTTGCCTAACTATTGTTCCATGAGTGAGTTTTGATGACTATATAACCATAACAAAATCACAGTCATTTCAGTTACTTTAGACATATCTTTTGTGATAGTTCATTGTTCAAGTTATTTATATTCTAAAAGAAGTTTTAAAATAATTTTTAACAGTAAAATAGACTATGCAGCACACAAATTCAGAGATGGGCACATCTTTAGTAACACGTTTGTCATGCACAACAAATTAGCACTGCAAAAACACAAAAGGCACAAAGTATAATGAAATAAAATGAATGTAACAAAAAGTTTTAAATTTTAAATGTTATTGGGGGTGATTTTACTGTATTCCTTAGTGAAGAATATTTATAAGAGGATGTGGTTTTTGAAGTAAAGAATGAATGAAAGAAATAATTAGGCTGAAAAAAGTGGCATGCTGAATATTATGAAAATGGTCACAAAGGGGTGTGTTCAGTGTAGAAAACATGAGACAAAAAGTATACTTCATTACAATACAGGGATTGGTGAAAAATACGGAGGTGCTAGAGCAAGTATTATCAAGAAGAATGAGAGAATTCGTGGTTAATGGTGTAGGTATCCCCAAGCAGAAGGGGGTATCTCCCAGCTTTTCAGGGTGTAACCTGGTAGAGCATCCCATGATCAAGCATGGCATCACAGTGATAAAATATTAATGTTTGAGCAAAGTCTTGGTAGATGAGCTGTGGGCTTCCCACAGTACCCTATAGAGATTCTAAGAAGGCAACAGAGAAATTCTGACTCTAACAAGATGGATATGGAGATGGCTGAATGGGCTACTGAATCTGAAGAATCCTTGGTTTAGGGACAGGAAGACACAGTGTCTGAACCGGAGGCCCTGGACATACTTCTGACAGTGGGGACCGAGGAATCATTCATCGCATTTGGAAATAAATCCCCTAAGCAAAGACCAGCAAGAAAAAAGACACTGGATTAGATTTACACTATCCAAGCCTTCTTAGATGCCTGATGCCCCAGTGCTCCTATGCCATGATGTTTCTCAGAAACAGGAATGGAAAAGGGGTTAGGTTGGCAAATCCTAATTAACTGATCTTAAACTACAAATAAATGAGATACTTGAATTAGCAAATCAATTCCCTGCTACCAAACGGAAATGGAAATTCTTGAGTTGTGTGGAGATCATGTTTACAGCAACAAGGGACATTTTTCAGTTTGTGATTGGTGAAATTCAGCAAACTACATCTGATTTAATGACAGGGTCACGGTCCACCTATTTAAGGACAGTCAAATTGAAAAGATTCTCTCTTTTCCCAGAGGATCCAGGGTTACTTGAAACTGTACAAGTTGCTTGATCTTTCTGTGCATCTGTTTCCTAATTTGGAAAATAGGGTAAGAATATGTAAATCAAGTTTATATCTCTAAAATGCTTAGAAAATAACCCTGGCTTTGGTAAGCTATACATAAATGTTAGTTACTATCATTAGGACTCTAGTTATTTTTTCTAGTTTATTTTGTATACCTCAAGCTCCTCTTACCCATTTATTCTAGCATTGAAAATGATATAAAGGGTTTTTTTTTTGTTGTTTCTAAAAGACTGTTCTGTCTTAAATTTACTCAGAAATGGGTAGACTAGAAGATGCTAAGTTAAGCAGCAAGATTTCCTATTTTATTCTTCCTAATCAAGATTCCTGCATAAACAGTGCTCACAACTATCTAGGCTTCAAATCCAAGGCTTACTTTCTAGATCTCAATTCAAGACCCCAAGTAAATCTCTAATATAAGGAGTATAAGAACTCAGTTTTCATATAATCATGTGAAAGCATTTCAAGTCATGCTCACATTTCTGACATTATTCCTTACAACTCCCCTTCAGACACTCTCTTTGCAATCCAGATAACCTCTTGGTATCTCTCCCTCTCAGTTTGTACCATTTCAGGTGTTTTTTCACAACCAGATTCTACTGATTCTTTACTAGATGATTCAAATGTTAACTCCTCCATGGACCCTTCCCTGTTCTACTGTAGAGAAAATAATTTCTTCCTTCTGTGAAACCAAATTTCTAAGGACAAATCACCTTCCACCTTGTATTATGGCTATTTAACTAGTACATTCATTAAGTATATATGTGTTAAGGTTCATGTATACCTACAGATTAACACCTGAGTTACTACAAGTCCCTCATAACCTTATTCATAGCAGGCAATGAATAAATCATTAGGTATACAATTGCGGATTAATTCAGATTAAGATACACAGTAAACTAAATATAAGTGCTCTGATTACTATGAGAAAATATCTGAATAGAATCAATTTTCCATGAAAATATTAAGCAATTGAAAATCCTCAGGTCCTAATTCAAAGCTTTAGAGAAGTATGGTCAATAGATGCATCAATAAACAGTATATGAGTCTAAACAAAGGCCATATCATACCACCTAACATTAGAAATTAACAGGTGCTAAATACTTTGTTAGGAAACTAGATATAGGAACAATAAAATTGCTCTTGCCTACTAAGTAATAAAAAAAAAACTTTTTAAAAAAGCAATAAGGCATGTTTTGGCTTTATTTTCTTTTGTATCACTCTCTTTGTCTAAATCCAATCACTTTATGTAATTTGTCCTTCACATTTATATTTACATAACGTGAGAAACAAGGCTTCTAATAGTCTAATTTTTATGTAACTGTCCAGTCTATGCTTATGTCACAATTATGTGTAAACTGAAATCTTGAAGTACCTACCTAAATAGCTTAAATTTATGCCAAAATGGGCATGAATTACCTACATCAAATAAAAATTAGACTATTTTCTTGTTGTCTCTAGTATCTATAGAACTGCTTTGATTCTTAGCCTCATGTTGTATGGGTATATTTTTCTGTTAAGTATTAGCTATAAGTATGTTCTAAATTTTATTTTTCTTTAATGGTTTAAAGTTTTATTTTTAAATAAGAAAGAGTATTAATTTGGACAATTAATATAGGAAATTAGAAAAGAAGGTGGGTGGGACATAATATGAGAAAAATGAGCTGACTTATCACTAATGAGGTAATTAATCTCCTTTAGGAAAAATTGTATGGTTAGATACACATAAAAATTTATAGAAATTAAAGTGCATGAATGTCAACAATGTTATTTCAGAAGGAGTGCTATTTTTAATTAAGTGCTCTGTGGAGATACTCAAAGAAAGTCAAATAGAAAACTTCCATGAATATTTTTTAAAAACCTTTAAAAGTTGTTAACTGGAAAACCTTTTAGGCTGGCATGGTACTCTTATTTTATTCACTTACAATAGGGAAGGTTATTATTAAATTAGATTCCATTCATTAGATATAAGCCAATTTGGGAATTATCCAGATTTCAGTAAGATAACCGACCACTTTCTAATATAAAAGCCTAAACACTTTTTATTACATGAACCTTAGCTGTCTTAAATTCTATGCCCTTTTGCTGAAAGGGTATTATTTCATGCCTGGGCTTATTTTTTAAAAGTCTATCAAAAACTTAAATTCCACTCAGATTACTCTTGATAGATCCAGAGAGGAACCATTTATTTATGTTGGCAGTGTTGACTGAAGAGCATATTATCACAGAGACTCAGCTTTCCCTCAAGGTCAATTAGTTGAAATCTATAAGGAATTAAAATATAGTCCAAATAGAGTAGATGATAGCATACAGATGAGCAGCTTAAAGCAGCATTACCAGTGGCATAGGACAAATCGAGAAACTTTGTATTTTCTACTTAACCAGTAAAGTTAGGCTAAAAAGAACCTCAAATTCTATTGCCTTGATATAAAAATATGTATTTGTACATATTCACATGTACTTCATATTCAAATAAAAATTTGTGAAGAATCTATTTCTCTGGTAAAGCATATTAATTAATCTTCCTAGGTTGTATAAAATGTTGAGTGTGAATTTTTAGTTTATATATTTCGTCAAGTCATTAATTACTCT